CCAGTGAGACATTGCCTCCTACAAATCTAATATATGCAGCACAGAATAAAACACAATGTTATGACTGTGTTACTCTTGGCATCACTGGTAGAAAAATAATTATATAAATATTCCTCTTGCTTAATCCAAAGAGAGCATCTTCAGTAGTCACATCTGGATCCTAGCAGATAGTCGAAGCCGATTATTGCTTTTTTTAACCTGAAGTTTTCTGTGGAGTACAGGCGCAGCGTGGCCTCTTCCTTTTCGATGAGATATACGACACTTTGGAGCCCCCTACAGACCACAGTTTCATTGTGCGCCTGCAGCTGAAGAGTACCCCGAGGATCTTTGTCCCCTTTTACCTGGAGCTCCAGAATACCACTGGCTTGGTCTTGTGTGCTTTTGTAACACAAGTACATGTACATGATGTAAGGCCCTCTGCACTCTGTAGAGATGCGGCTTTCATCTCTCAGCTCCATCTTGTTTTTTTTTAGGAAAACCTTCTCAAACTTCAGTGTTGTGTTTCCTAAGATGTCTGTGAAGTGGCATATAAAGAGAAATTAATGATTTAATCAAATCAAGGACAGAAGCAAAAATCAGATATGATGTTTACAGACCTGCAATCGGTAAAAACTGGATGTGTACATGTTTATCCTGCAAATCCTGTAAAGACACAAAGACGTGGAGGTTTATTCATTTTTTTCATTATTTTGAAAATGGAAATGGGCAAAGTCTAAAGATGAAAAGTTATCATGAGAATCATACTGTGGTGATTAACAGTGCATCTTGAATGTAGATCGCACAATCTGTACTGCCCACGTTTCCATTAGCCAACAAGGTCAGTGCTTATCTGACTGGTATTTAGTGCCAGTGACAGTCATAAGCAGAAAGTTAAGCAGAAGCAAACAACATAACCTAAATCAGACCTTGGCATTGTACAGCTCCGGGGCCACATATGGCCCTTTGGTTGACTGTGACCATCCCGTTTAAGATCATTTGGAATTATAAAATAAACATATTTTATAATTTTACCTCATGTATGGACTAAAGAGGCATTGCTTTTATTTTAGAGGGGTTTTAATGACATTTTTTGTAAGGCAACTTTATCATTGCTGAGTCATAACTGATTCTGGTCTTACCAGTTTGTCAAAACAATTGTATTTACTGCTTTTTTTTTTTTTTCTTTTCTTTTTTTTAATAAAGAAATATAATTGAGATTATGCAGAATTGAGTTAAGCATTTTGGCTTGACCCTCCACAATATTTTCTGTTTCTCATTAAAAAAAAAAAAAAAAATTGCCCACTCCTGACCTAAATACATAAGACTCATGGTTCTTTAGAATAGTAGACCAGATGTCTATATTTATATCTTCTACTATCATAAAAAGCAATAAAGATTCACACTACCAGCATAGAGTCAAATAGACATGACAGCTCAAACTTACTTAGAAACAACATAGGCTAATTGAACACATTTTCATGGCTGAAGTAAAAGGCAAGGAATATGGACTTATTCCTTTAGTCTAGCAGTAACTTTTTAGGAGTACTGTCAAACCTTATCTTCATGAAGTAACAGCTTTATTGACCCTTAAAATATGTGGCCTACAGTAAATAATAAGACTATGAAAGGTCCGGTCAATATAAAACACATAAATGTGTTGGTTCCAATAGATCATTTTAAATAAATTCTGTGTTGTTTAACCAAACAAATTATTGTGATGCATATTGTCTTAACATGATGATGATGATGACTGGACTGTGATGACTCCAAGGGACCACTGACATAGGTTGAACTCCCATCTTTTACTATTACTTTTACTTTTACTTTATTCTACTACATATAAGTCTGCATGGCCTATATTTTGCTTTATTTGGCTCGTAGGCTTATTATGCTAGTTTTCCAAACTATAATTGTTATGAATTTTATTAGGCTACCACAAATTTCTGGATGTTTGTTAGTATATTGGAGTCCAAGTCCCTTGTGATCAATAAAGTCGGTGTAAGATACATTTTCATTGAGAAATCACAAAAATAATCCACAGCTATTTTTTCCAGTTTGAACAAAACTCACGGGCTCCTTGTTCCAGTAGACGTAGAGCGCAGTGAGCAGGCAGCCGGTGAGGAGCAGGTTCTGCAGCGCCACGAGGAGCGTCAGTTTGCAGCCGCGTGCGTGTCTGAGTAATGCGCAGGCCTCCACGTCCGTCCGTGACGCGTCCATCGTGCGCGTGAACAACGTCTGAGCCCCTCTCTACTGTTCCACGTCGCTTTTTAACCGTGAGTGGGCCCGCCGAGGGAGGGTGATGACTGGAAGGAAAACTCCAGTCTGTAAGTTTGGATGAGTGGGTGGGGGGTGCTTTGTGGCGAGCGCAGAAGCTCAAACTGGGCCGCACTGAAGAGGAGAGATGGAGGAGGCCTCGCGCGTTTGTACTGTATCAACGCATCTGTTTCTGGGAGTGAAACCGGACACACGAGGGAGGACGACAAACACCTGACAGCCAGCCCAGGACACACATTTGGGGCTTAACGCAAAACAAAAAAGCTTTCACAATAAACCAAAGGTGAGAGTGCTACAAATGAAAGTTCAAGTAAAAGTGCTGTAAAAAAAAAAAAAAAAAAAAAAAGAAAAAGAAAGAAACCAATTCCCTACTACACAATATAATTCTCAGTAGAGTTAAACAGTTGCATTCAATAGTCTATTATTTCTCTATATACATTGTACTTCAGTATTTCCTCCAACCTGCTGAGGGACTACAGGTGTAAATTAGCACCTGGCACCAGCATCTTTCCTATGACTTCTGTCTTGGTTAATGTATTGTTGTGCACTATCCCTGTACAAATAAAAAGCATACCATACACTACTACACACACCTGTATAATAAACCCAGTAATTCTGCAGACAATCGTGCAGTTATGTTGTTTCTTGTTCCTTCAGATTTTTGGGGTAATTTTACTTTTATGAGTAGATTTTAAAACCCATACTTGTAACTGAGTGTAATTCAAACCATGTGATTGTAATTAGTTACATTTAAAGAGCACATGTTCTAATCGTCTCAAACCACAGCTGTCTCTGTTCCTTTTTAAGCTCCTTTTTAAACCAAAAAATACACATAACAGCACTGCATCTCCTGCTCTGATTGGACAGAACTCAGTGGTTTGAAACAACTTAATTTAACTTAAAAGTGTTCAATTTATATAAAAAACTGATCTGAAATGCTGGCAAAAACATTTCATGTTAATTTTTTACTTTTACTCCTGTATTGTCTGAGCCACTGGCCCCTCCAACCTCAACCAACACACGCAAACACCACATTCATACTTGGCAACATGGGTGATGTGTCTTGCCTAAGGACACAATGATATTTTTTGCCATTGGCACCCCGCTGTGGCACCTGTTATTCCCAGCGGTCTCCCTCCAGGTACTATCCAAGCCCAGCTCCCCTTAGCCTGTGAGGTCTGATGAGGTCAAGCTTTGATAATAAATATACTAAATTTAAACAAAGTGTCTATGGCACATTACAGAGGCGTGTGTGAAATTTCAGAATACGTCAGATAAAATGCTCTTTAATCTAGATGAGCTATGTTTGACATGAATACTTGATATTTTAAGATGGTTGATGGAAACTTGCATGTTTCTCCTTTGCAGATAATGATTTTTCCTGTTCTGCCTACTGTCTTGTATGAGTTTAACCTTTCCAGAAAAAAGAGGCTGATTTCTATCACATTAGCTCACAAATACAGTATTTTGTCAATTCATAATTATGGTATATCTACTTTTCCTTCCCCCTTCCCCATTCTTTCTTTTTCCTTCTCTTCTTTCTGACCCTGAAGTGTATTTATCTGAATCACTCTCTTTCAGGCCCAAAAGCCCTGAAACTGTCAATTACTAATATACTACTAACCTTCAGAAGAACTGAAAAGAGACATTTCAACAAGGTTCATAAGAAGCGTGAAGGCAAAAGGCTTAGGTGGCAAAATGAATCATGCTGTTATACTGTTGTTACTGTCATGTGCCCCAGGAGCCAACCACACTGAGTTATAATCTAAAAGAACAAGCCAATATAGCTAATTTAACAGATTCAAAGTTATGATCTGCCAACACATTTTCAGTGTAAGATGCTCAGGTTGAATGGTACAGTGTATGTTGTGGACAGGTGGTTTCCAATTGATCAGTGCCAAAACAGACAGATGCTACTTTAGAATTCTGTTATGAGCAGGACCTTCAGCCACAACTGGATGAAATGTGGTCAGTATAAAAGGTCCTGTGGTGAGAAAGGGAAGTCCCAAGTCTAGCAGAATCTAGATAATGAATAAAACTTCAATCTCTCAAGTCTTGTCTTATTGAAGTAGTTCTAAAAACTGGGCCTGTCTCCCAGGATGAGGATGGATGTGGGTGGGGTCAGTTGGGTGAAAAGGGTCTGTGATGACTGAGATGTCTTTATGATTTTATCACTACAGACTATTATCAAATAATGTTTAAATTCACTATCCTCATTATGGTATTATCAGTCTTAGGCTTAATATAAGTTTGTTTAAGTTTGTTCTAGTTATCTAATTAATTATCTTGTATATCTGGTATTTGTGCACAAAAATGGCATCTCTTCAAAATTAAGAATTACTTTACTTGATGTAAGAAGCTCTGCCCTAGACAGTATGGAGAAATACAACACTATGACTAAATGCTAAACAGGTTAGGCAATGCCATATTGAAATGTACCATCTGTAACATGTAAAAACCTGCACCTGCTCTGAAACCACATGTCCAGGTGTCTGTAATCTCTAAAAACTCAAGAGTCATCCGGAAATTAGAACACCTGTCAATTCAGGACAGTGGTTACATGGGCTGTGGCAGGTGTAAAAATGTAAACAATGTAAACAATGTCAAAAATGTACAATATACAATCATTTTTTGGTAGATTCTTTACAATTGTACGTGAAGAGATGGAAGGTCTTTTCACCATCATGAAAGACTGTTTGCTTTTGAGTGGCACAAATATCAAAAATCTATAAATGACAGAAACCACAGAGATCCAAACTGTACTTTAATGTTGAACCTTGTACCTGGTGTCATGACTTATTCATTTCCCCTAAAGTCAGAACTGTAATGTCAGTAGCTTTCTAATATCCCACACACACACACGTTTTCATATCCTCCAACCCAGATAAATATATACAACCTGGCAGCGTCCGGTAGCCTTTGGATTACATCAAAGGGTTAGAATATTGGACAAAACCATTTTTTCAGTAGTTTAATTCAAAATTAAATTTATATTATATAGCAGGTAGGCAAATGTCTTCAATATTTTATAAAATGTAACTGAAACTTTTTATATTTGCAGTTAATGAAAGCCAATTAAAAAAATAAACCCTATTAAAAAGGTATTTATACACTAAATATTCAATTAAAATATTAAGCCAATTGTGTGCAATACACTTTCTTATTAAATTAAACCACTTAAAAATGTGACTAGATTATGGACATAAAAGTGAAAAATCTAATTGAAATCCCTAATTGTCATTTACATATTTCAGAACTCGGCAGCTTTAAATCCATTAAAACAAAACTGTCTTTCCTTTAATTGTGTAATGGCTCATATTGTAATTTAATGTCTACAGTTTTGTCCAGTAGTTGTCAAAGATACAGCAGATCTCATCGGTAGTGCACTGTTGAGAAAAAATCTTTTCAAACACTGAAAATGTCATCTTCAGTGAGGTGTAAAAAAGCAGGTGAAGTTTGTAGTTCATAATTCACCTTGTCTCTAGTCATTTTATAGAGTTTTATAAATAGTTTAATCAGTTCTTCTCTTATATCTCATCCAGGCACTTGTTGTCCCATTTTGTTTATGGATGAGGGAGGTTCATTCGGTCCTCTATTAGTGTAATGTCTGGGCCAGATGCTTCCATACATTGTTTGACTGTGGCTATGATCCCAGAGAGTCGCCGGTCCAGAGCTGCCAAGTGGGACTCAGCCAAAACCGGGTGAATAGAGTCAAAGGTCAGCGCCTGTCTCATCGCTGAACTCAAAACCCCGTTCTTCAACAAGTTTAGTCTGTTCCACGTAGAGACTCGAATCCTGAAAAACACAAAGACAAACTGTCAAAACAAAAAACAGTAATATAGTTTACTAGTGCAAACAAGGGAGTTAATGCGGGTGTGGGCGTTCAAATACATGTGAAAACTTTCCACATAGTTAAATATTTGTCATTGGTTTGTTTTTATTGTGGAGGTTAACACTAAAATAATAGAACAGAACTAGAATAGAATTGTGTTAAGAGACAAGATAAACCTGGGTGTGAAAGGGTGTGAAGAGTATCAAGAAACATTCAGCAAATTGGCTTAACCAGGGATCAATTTATGTCACGATCAAGCCCTTATAAATGGACAGGACTGTCAGCAAAACTCATTGCAAAGTAGGACACTATAAAACTGTATAACTCACCCTTATCACATGATACACATTTTGTCAAGCTAATTCTCCTCTCTTCATCTCTCGCAGTACATTTCTTTACTCCACCTATAGTTTATATATTTTGTGTAATACATTCACGTTTATTCATCTTCTACACATAAAAATCTGTCTATTGGTACTTACAGTTGTTCCATTATTCCTTTCTTGTTGTCAAGTGTCCTTTGTTGATTTCTTTTGATGTGTTTCTCTTGCACATTTTTCTTTTTTTTTTTTATTAAAAGACTTGTTCTATGCCTAGTAACATCTTATTATGCCATTGCCCTAGACCAGGGCTGTCCAAATTTTTTTCATCAAGGGCCACACACAGACGAAGCAGATGGCAGATCAAGGGCCGTAGACTGGTGCTCAATACAGTGAATAATTGAAATATGTGTATGTTTAACATGTTAGAATGAGCCATCAGTCTTTATTCATGCTAAGATCCTTAAACCACACACTAAATATTAAATATTAGCTTTATCAAGGTAAATTTTCAAAAAACTTGCAGTAAAAAGTTAATTTCTAATTGATGCAAGGTAATTTGGGCCAATTCACCTGGAAGCCTGAGGGCCAAGAAAAATTTGTCAGAAGGCCACATTTGGTCCACGGGCCATATTTTGGACATTTGCAATGACAACCTGACCAAGAGGCTGCATAAAATAGCACAAGCCAAATACACTCACATAGAATCATAACAGAAAACAGTAAAATATTTGCAGATTAAAGATATAAAAGTGTAAAAGCATGTTCTTATTGTCCAAAGCTCTTTTGCATGGATAAAGTCTAAAATAATAGATGGCTGTGATGATTCTGGATACTCACATGCAGCACTGATAGAGGGGTGCCAGAATACTCCTCTCATCAAGGGCAGCGTTCCCAAAACTGCAGAGTAAAAATAAACAGAAACACATGAATTACTGCGATAGACTTAAGTGGCAAAGTGAAGTTTGCAGCACTGCAGTTCAGAGAGGCCATCAAAATGCATTAGCCACACTGTGCTGCTACAAAGTACAAAGCACCAACTTCAAATGCACTACGTCTGATCCAACTCCACTGACCCAGAAGGAAGACTTCCTCTTTCTGTCTGCTGGGTACAAAGACACTTCTCTGAGAGCTGATGGGGCCATTAAGTGACAGTTAAGGTAAAACACAAAAAGATGCTGCCGGTAAAACAGCAACATTTCTGGACTTTAAAGCAAAATGTCTTGGGGCTTTTACCTCTACAAAATGTCTGCTGTTTCTCTTGCAATGAGCATGTACATGTACAAATAGTATATACTATGATTTACAATGAATAGTAATTATAGTAATACAATTAAAGATATACTGTCTAAGAAAAACATTTGCATAAGTGAATGATACAAAATAAACATTAACTTACATTATAAACTTAAAAAGGTAATATTTCAGCACTTTTTGTGTTTAGTTTTTACAGTGGATTTACTTTTGATGTGATACTTGAACCCCAACCAAAACATGCACAATTTTACACATTTCTGATTACAAAAATATAATATAGTATATAATAATATTGGGAGTTAAAAATGTAAGACATTCATTTGTGTCAACATTACCCTCCCCTATTTAAAATTTCTAAATTCTGCTTTTCTCTGTGAGTGGACCTCAAGGGTGTGTTCCTTTTTTAAACATCTATTTTTGTTAAAATGATAATGTAACATGTAACTGAGCAAATACTAATGTCTAGAAACTGTCATTGTGTTACTGTTCATTATGAGACCATGAAGCACTTTCACTTGAAGATCACTTGGTGATAAAGGGAGTTTTTCTTGAATAAAGTAATATAAAAAATCTAAAAACAGTATAGATAAAAAATAAATTATTAAAATTAAAATAAATTTTAGCATCTAAAACCCAGTTGAGGCCCACCCAGATTACCAAATATTTTACCTTATCATACAATAGTGGTTGGGTCATTTTTTGTCTTTTACCTCTTGGCATTGTCAAGTAGGATAAGCATGCTGGCTCCTCCATCGTCCTGGAAACTTTCGTAGTGATGGCGGTCGGCGTTTCCAATCAGATAATCAAATATGGCTGTGTCGATAACATCCAGGAGTCTGGGGCCTGCATCGTACGGAGGCATTTTCTTCACAGCATCACAGTAGCTTTCATCATACTCCCACCTGGACAACAAGTTCACAGTATATTGTCTATCAGAATTACATATAGCCATTTTGCAATTAACTTACTTATGTCATACTTGTGTGAGACTTATGACAAGAATCACTTAACTAAAATTGCATCTAGTAATGTAATGAATTAATGAATAAAGTCTGAATTAAATAGTCTCTATGGCTTAAAGACAGCTATTTCAATCTTTTCCCAAATGTTAATGGTTCTGTGTTAAAATGTGCCCTGAGACCTAAAAGAAATGGCTAATCTTATTGCAATCACAATAATTGTCATTGTGAATTAGGAGTGCTTCTCTGAATGACAAAATGCAGAATATAAAAATCATAAAAGTTTCAGGTATTGATGAAATGAATGGAACTGAAACATTAATTTCTGTATGAGAAATGTGTGAGTTGAGGCATGTAATATCATCTTCAAATATTGAATGAGAATGTGAGTATCAGAGCTCAGTCCTCCCTCATTTAACATCTAATGAAGTCTGCAGCGTGTGGGGTGTATGTATATTACCAACCACGTATACAGTACAGTATTTCTGTTACAGTTAACAGTGAGACCAAGGCATGTGCTCCTTTCCCTCTTTCACCTGCATTTAAATACACCAGGAGGACTATAAGAGCTGGTGACAGCAGAGAAATCTTTTTGAACGACACACAGACAGACCCAGGCTCACCTGCACAGACAGAGGCAGGAGGAGACGTGTCTCTGATATTATGTTGATCCAAATTGCCTCGTCAGATGCACACAGCAGACTGCTTGGGTGGGCCTGAGGTTGTCCACAGACATACAACACGTGCACACCGCACATGCATGCCGCACTCGCCCTGCTCTGAGACCACGTGTCTGAAGTGCTCTCTGAGCGGTTCTTTACTGCTGTCCAGAATATAACTGTGGAGTTCACATTGACCAAAGCGCCTCTCTCTGACTGAATATTCTTCTACGTCAGCCTAACTAGTGGCAATGTGAAGTTCAAGACATCATTTTTTCTTTTGCTATAGATCATAACTGGAGCACAGAGGGATTACACAGACATCTTTTAAAGCAGACATACATATTTCATAGCTTTACCTTTATTCTAAGACTAAAGCAACTATTGTTCAAAAAAACATTTCTATAGACATCACTTTATTCAGCAAGTATATAGGAATCAGAAAATGGTAATCAGATTACTACCATGACTGTGACATACACGCACACATGCACAGTTTCTTGACACAGAAGTACTGCTTTGTCTGCTTATCATTTTACATTGATAAAATGTCCCCAAATACAAGGACTACGGCACCCTTAGTTTTTCTGACAATACAAAGAACAATTTAATGGTGTAGCGAGATGTACCTTGCCAGTTTGCCCTCCCGGTAGGTCCTGCCCCAGGGGTGTCTGTGCTTCTGTAGAGGCCACACGTCCGGCAACCAAAGGGTTAATGAGCCCTCCATGATCTCCCCCTCTGCACAGGCCGGCTCACTCTCCCGACAGTAGTAACACTTTCCATAGAAACAACTATTATTACCTGAAAGAAACAGACTGAATTACATTTGTATAAATAAATAGATAAATAAATACACAAATTAACCTTTTCTTACATGAATATGCGACAATATGATTTCATATAAATAAGTAAGTTAATAAGTTAAGACAAAACAACAAGAGTTTGATGATAATATGCCCTCTAACTCTCAAACTGTTTGGTTTATGGCTGATATCTCTTATAATTGGTCATATCCAAAAACCCACTAAACAATGGTATAAAAGCATCTGTTTGTCAGCTGAGACAACTTGAAGCCAAAGGATTTGTAGGGCAAGTTTTTTAACATGCTTCCCAACAGGGTTACTTTGACACATCACCTCATTATCAAACTAGAGACAGTGACACTTATTTAATAATTTTGTTAATCTTTCAGTTTTTTCCTCTTTTCATGGTTGCTACAGAGAACTAAATATACAATGCCTTTTCTTTGTAGTGGTTATAAAGCCCCTCTAGGGCAGGAACATTTGATGATGAATTCATTGAACTGCTTTGAATTTGTCACTGTCTAAAACATTCTGAGATTTTAGAGCCGCTGCTGAAACCAGGACTTCAATGTCTGTAAGTGAAATGAGTCACAGGACTAAGAGATGGCTAATGGCAGGAAGTAGCAGCATTAATAAACCTGCCATTTAATATGTATGACATTTACAGCTATTACAGTATGACTGGTCATAGCGGAGTTTTTAGAAATGAAAGTTTTAAATGTTGGATTTAAACGTCTTATAATGAGTATCACTACTGAAATAGGTCAGATGAACTTGGGACAAGGCTGCCATTTGGAGATGCTCTCTAAACCAGTCATTCAGCAAACACAATATTTTCTTCTTTCTGTAACGCAGATTAGTATGTTTGCTTTTTGTTTAGCCATAAGGAAATGCCTCCTCTGCATTTGACTCACTGAGTAGTTCTGGAAACATCTCCAGAACTAGCTTAATCTTAGTCAAGAAAGTCAAGCCTATAGTGCATGTTTTGCTTAGGAAGGGAAAACATTTACTTGCTGCTCACTGTACCCGATGTTCTGTCTGACTTCTGTACAACTTATAACATGACTACAACACCACATTTGTATCACATAATCCAATGCACTTTTCTCAGGATCTAATAACAATACAGACCTTGCGTGAGGAAGGTGCTGAGCAGTTGGTCAGTGGCCACTGGTTTGATCTCTGTTCGCAGGTTCACGTAGCGTCCCACTACCAAAGGAGCTCTTCTGAACCCAAGGATCCTACAACATACAATAGAACAGTTAAAGGCACTTTACCGAATTTCTAATGTCGCTACAACATGAAAAACTGGAAAAGTTCCTTTTAAGCAGTTTGCAGTGGTCCAAGGTTATTCCTTACTTCCCTTTTTCAAAATCCTAATTACTCTTTAAAATTAGTTTTTAAGTGCATTTAACAACTCTCAGAGAGCAATGTCATTGATTTGCTGAGGTAGCAAGCATTGCTAAGGAAAGCAAACAACAACTAGCATGCTAAGGGGCACTTTCTGATTATGGAACAATTAAGCTGAGATGCAGTTTACAAGTGTACATCCACAGAAACTGTAGGTATGTCTTATACAGTTGTACTGAATTATACAGCGCCAAAAGAGATATTTTCTGTGATGAATATAATATTATGCTTACATACCTGTCCAGGTGAAAAGCGGCCACCTCTGCATTATGTCTGTCATAACCAGCATAGGGCTCACCCTCCACTATGTAGTCTCTATTGTACCTGTGCAATAAGAGCATTAGAAGAAAACATTTCAAACTGGACATACAGGCATTACAAACTATTTTACTAGCTATTTAGCAAGCTCAGGCATCGCACAAAATTGAATGAACAATAAAATTATGCCCATAATTGCCTTATAGCCTTGTTTGGAAGGTTATATTGCAAATTAACTTTGCTCCTATTTATAGACAATTTTAATATTTATGAATATAGAGTATAATTATTTCTAATAATAGATATATATTGATAATCATCATTCTATCACCAAACCAAACATCTCACCTCTTGGGTTTGAAGACTACTTTCTGCCCCCCATCCAGGACCAGCAGAGCTTTGAGCTGCGTCCCCTTATAGCCCACATCGGCACGTTCGATCCGGGCTGTGCTGAGCGCTGTGAGGACTGCTGCTAATTCAGGAGTCTCTTCTGGGTACACCTCCCTAGGACCCACCCACTGACTTGCAATCTCCCAGGGCGACTGCAGGGTGTGTGTGAGCCGAGCACCGCGAGACAGAGACAAACCGGCCTCCATCTGAAAAAAAAACCCAATGATGAGTAGGTTAAATATTAACTATTTATATAAACAAAATTACAAGTCCAAAGTGGTGCTCTTTGTGTAGTTTACCTTTAATTTTGTCAGACATAATAAGAAAAATGTCTGTTTTCTTCAGTCACAGATTGTAAATTTTTTGAGGGTCAATGAATGCTATTTACTAATAAAAGGATAAAAGGATAAAAGAATAAAAGTTGTTTATAGGCTAACAGGCTAAAATAGTCTTTCATTAAGGTTACATATATTTTTCAAATCGGGTCATTCCACACCATTTAATCAAATTTCCAGAAAATCTCACCCATCATGTTTTAAAAATGTTTTTTTTTTTTTATTACCAGCTGTTCCCTTACTATCATGTACTAACCTCGTGAAGTTTTAGTGATTTTTGATCATTACTTTTTAAGTTACAGCTCATTTAGTGAGGAGGGTATGTGTCCATTTACGGGCCAAAAACGCACGTAATTTTTTCTCGGCTGTTTTCACAGGTTGATATTTCCGTAAGTATCACACATAGAGGGCTGAAATTTTGTAGACTTGTACTCCTCTACTCTGTGTTCAAATAATATAAAGTTTGGTATCTCAACTCATTGCCACTTTATATGAACTTAAAAATGAAAAAAAAAATAAAATAAATCGTTCATTTCCGTGGCGTACCATTTTTAGTCCCTTTTTAAACCTACTTGTAGGTGTAGTAGACCCTTATATTTTTTTGAGACTCAAGATATGTACTAGGACTGTTAAAAAACATCACCAAATGTTGAAAATTTGAAGTAGGTTATGTGCGAGGGTCCTGTTCAAAACAAAGAAAATGTAATATGGTCCAATTTTCACATGTAATTTATGGCATGTGGCAAATTTGAATATTTTTTTTTGAAAGACCAGAAAAAGACCTTTCATATGGTACCAAACGTATTTGAACATGATAGTAAGGGACTATTTATTTTTTAATTTTTTTTCTAATTTTTTTGAGATCGAAGTGCGTGAGCCATTTATTGAAATGGAGTGGAATGACCCAATCACATCATAAACACTGAAATAGTCTGACCTTGCGAAACGCCCGGAGGTCCCGGCGGCTGGCTGCAGACCCCTCGCCTCCATCCAGCAGAAAGATCTTGGCCAGGCCCAAGAGAAGCAGCACAGCACACAGCACCACCATGCGCTGTTTGAGCTTCATCTCCACGGCTACGACCTCTGCCCTCGGCCCTACACCCCCGCCTCACCCTAAAATCTGACTGTGTCCCCCACACGGACGCCCCTTCACCCTAAAGTCATGGCCCTGGCAAACTCCAGGTGCCCTCCGACCCACCAGCAGAATCCGCTCCAACTGTCTCTGTAACAGGAATAGACAGAACAGAGCAGGAAGGGCAGAGAAGGAGGCTAGGAGAGGAGAGAGGTACAGGAGGGGACACAGATGAAAAATGTAGCGTCAATAATTTGCAGGTCAGAAAACAGATTGATTTGCCTCCACCACAGTTCGTTTCCCCTCTGGGCAGACAGTGACCCAGTACCGCTACACAGATGAGGCCAGCCAAACCTACATCAGAGCAAAGACCAACAGATAATTTCATACAGTGAAATGATAAACTGTTACAGCCCCAGGCCTTAGGTCTAATTTGTTTATGTGATTGTTGCCGACTTCTCTGATTCCTGCTGCAGGAGCCCTGGTCCGTGATTGGTGGGGCAGGTCGACGCCCACCTCACCTGCAGCCACCGCCCCCTATTTCAGGAGATTACCAGCACCTGTTCGGGGCTGCTGGCCTTGGTGTCCAGTCTGCCATTTTGTTTCATGCGTGTGTAGTTTAGTTCAGTTTTGTTTTGTACCTTTTTGATTTGGTCACTTGATTCTGTTTGTGGGCTTAAGTGGTTTAATTTGGGGAACTTGTGTTATAGTTTAGTGTGTGTCCCTTAATTTTACCACTTGTTATTGTGTAAGCCTGCGTGACCCCTTTTGTGGCACAAAACCCGTTGTCTGTAGTTTTGTTTCTTAGTTTAGGTTATTTTCTGTATATTTTAGTCTCTTTTGTTAATTTACCTTTACATTCCTGTTAATTAAACATTATTTAATTTATTCCATTTTTACATCTTGGTTTTATTTTTTGTTACTTCCCTTTCTCCCCTAGCAAAGGGGACGTAACATAAACCCTAAACATCAGCAAAAATATCGATATATCGGATCATTTAATGTGATGATACATCGTGGGCTGCTGTATCGATATATCGCCAAGACTATTTTTTTTGGTATATTTTATTAAATTATTTTGTTACAGCGCTACAGTTTTGTTGCTTGTTCAGAGGAAGGGAACTGACTTGACATTTTCACATTTTGATGATTAGAACGTGTGGGTTTCAGATGAACTTTGCACAAGAGGTGGTTTTTCAAAGACTTTTAGTATCACAGACATGATTTAAACATTATGTTTTATTGAACTGTATCAAATTGATTTGAAATATATTGTATCGAACCAAAAGTGCACTGTACCCAGAAATGTATCGTATGGTGGCCTATGTATTGACGTATGTATTGTATTGGTAACTTCTTAATGATATCCAGCCCTAATGAACATACAAATGTATTGCATTGCAGATAACTTCCAAGTCTTCCAAGTTACATTATTTTCTGAGATGACACTGACTGGAAAAGTCTCAAGGCTGAAACTAAACCTTTACTTTTGGCCTGTGGCCATCTCACTTCGTGTATCCTGCTCTGCCATGCTGGGTGAATACTGCTATCAAATGTGTTATCTGACAGCCTAGACCTCTGTGTCACAATAAATGTAATCTTATGTTATGGTTACCAGTGGTACAAATGATGGCCAAGTTCCACAGTTGACAGAAATCTAAAATATGAGGCGCTCCAGTGAAGATGACCACTAATATGATGTGTATGACCTACAAAAATCCTACTTGAAACCGTCATCTAAAATCATTAAGAAGATGCTGCAATGGTTAAGCGCTGAATACAAAGTGAAAAAGGTGGGGTATGGTGAAAATCCCAAACCCATGCTATTTATTGTTGTGCTACTAGCACTAACTATTGAATTCCTGTCCATGCTCGGACGCCAGAAGCGTGCCTTTTGGTGATGCAGGGAGGTCAGCTAAGGTTTGATTATCATATACCGCTGCCAAAAGTGAGCAACGTGTAACAAGTCATTCAAGAGATATTTCAAGAAACCTTGTTAAGAAAAAAACAAAAACAAAACTCGCGTATATCTACTTGCACCCTTTTATAGTAGCATGTTGTTACAGTGTAATTATGACAAGTGCCACGTTTAACCCCGTCATCTCCAGCTGATAGCGCTTTAGCTTTCGGTGCGTAACCATTCCCATGCGTAAAGGCAACCAAAATATATCCAAATTACTTTCCCATATCACAGTTTATACATCATTTGAGCCAAGAGACACCTAGCCACGCAGGCAAGCTCATACAATCACCCTTTATCAACGATGTCTTTGCTTTTCTAATACCGGTGTAGGGAAACCACGCGTCAGAATGCGATCTTCACCAGGTCTACCATCACAAACACTCGCGTTTGTGTTAATCATTCTGTTACTGCCAATGTACTGTCCGATGATTGCAGGCTGATATAGTTCTTGGAAAAACCCTCGTACACCTTGCTGGTTAGCTAACTTAAAGCTAGCTACTGTGTGTCGTGTTTAATGTTTACTGGATGACTATTGCCTTACCTTACGTTGGGTTACGTCCAACCTGACCTAAGCTGTTTCCAAGTTTTTGTCCAACTTGTGTGATATAAATAATGTTGATAATTTGCCAAGCTGCTGGTGCACACAATGGTTCGTCAGTTTACAATCCAGTAATCGGCAGCAGCCTCCCCTTTCCTCCGCCCTTTCCGTGGAGTCTCGTCTCTGGTTTGCGCGTACTTCCGAAACACTTCCTACCGCTGTACGTGCGCGGCGCAAACTCCAGGCGGCGCTGTGGAGCTGTGAGCGTAATAGACTGTATGGAGCGTAACGAGGTGGGCTTTCAGACAGTGTTTTTAGTAAATTCTAATTTTACATATCTGTATACAGTCAGTATATCTAACAGAAAAGACTGCAGTTTTATGGATAGATTATTCCTGTAATGATATAAACCTTTAAGTGCACTATGTTATGTAAGTTTATTCATTATATTTTCATTGCATTAGGTCAACAGAGTAGTGATACTGTGTGTATAAAAATAATTTGAATTTGAACTCATAATTTAACATTTTAACTGAACCTTTCAAATTGTACTTTTTAAAAATAAGAAATACACTATAAATTGACCCGATAAACAAAGCATGTTGACAGATTTTTCCACGGTGTTGTAATTTTAGACCAAAGGACAACAGCCCTTTTCCTAAAGCTTATGTGATTGACTTACACAAAGCTAATGGAACACTAAACTACAAACACAAAGGTTGGATATGTACCTTAGGCAGTTTTATATAACCTGACCTTAATGTATGCACTTATTGAAAGAAAGCATAAGGAAAACACATGGGCATATCAAGACAATTACAATACATTTTAAATCCTAATTTAGTACTGTAACTTTATCTAACCTTTTTCCATTACTGCCAGGCATTACAAAGCCACTGAACAGAGACACAATGATGAGCAGTAGACCCAGATATGTGGAGTAAAAAAGGCAGAGTGTTTATTGGTTTCTCCAAACTTTGGGCAGTGCATCACTCAGCACTGAGGTCACAGCACCGCCACAGTCACACCACGGGGCAGGCAGACAGGTAAAAGGGCAAAGTTCAAAGGGCATTGAGTCCATAAACCTGGTCACCTGAAATGATTAAGAGGCTGTTCATGGATGTTCTTTGTAAACAGTGACACATACTGGTTTGAGCTTTTTGCATGGACACTCACTGAAGATTCAAAGCTGACAATAAAGAGAGAATTGTGCTTTTGCATATGGTCAAAATGTAAGAACTTGGTGTGGCCTGGGATATTTAACAAGGGCATAATTACACATCAGTGAAATTATTCTAAACAAGTGCAAAATGAAATGGTAAATTTAAAATTTAAACTGGGATTTGGTGCATTAAAAATAAACAATACAATATTATGCATTGCATTCATTTTGCTTGCATTGCAATACATACAAAATGGAATATGAATTTTAAAATGGAAAATTATATTAACAATTAACTATGATTTGGCCTGACAATAAGGCTGTGTATTTCCATTATTTTGACCATATATTGCAAACAAAAAACAAAATGACATTACAACATAACAAACAAGCGCTTTACAATTGTGGTGGAGATTGAACACCCAAATAAGTTCAAGAAAAGTCATACCAAGACCACCTGACTTCAATTGGGTTGTGCATCTTTGTTAAATAAAAACATAAATATTTGAAATTCAATATTGTCTGTCATTTGGGCATCCAAGAAGAAATGCACAAAATGCCAGCCTGGGTGATATCACCACAAATGAACATTGACTTCTTTAAAAATAAATTTCACCCATTTCATTTACTAATAGACAAATTAGTGAGCCCTCTCTTTCCCGTATGAAATAACAGTATTTGATAATCCAGTATCAAATTTGACATCTCAAAGCCTTTTGCCACAATAGGAACAATCTGACACATTCAAACCATACACAACACTTTACTAGCTTTTCTTTCTTTCCACCCAGCATGGCAGAGCAGCATACTCGAAGTGAGATGAAGCCATGGACCAAAATTAAAGGCTTAGTTTCAGCCTTGGGGTTTGGCCAGTCATGGATCTGACTTTAATTTGAAAGTCTAAAAAATAGGGATATTTGCACACGCACAAATGCAAACTGGTGCTCTCAGCATCGATCAAGTTTTGACTTAACAATGTTTGACTTTCTCTATTCCTGCTGAAACAGACACGTTCAGTGTCTTATCTTGATTTAAAAGGGATGATATACAAACATATCTCATACATTTTAGGGGAGGACACTTAAGTCAATCTGAAAAACTGTGTGCAGTCAATTTAGGAAAGTCTAGTCAATTATAATCACCTCAAACTCAAAGAAGGTTAGGACGCAGTATAGAATGTAAAATGCAAATCTCATGAAAACAAGTTTGAGATATACTGTTGCATTAACAATAGGCAATAATTTAATAGACTAAAACAGGAGGTAAAACAATTGTCTTTAAGCGGAGGCTTGAGGTTCAAAATTTGTTCTGCCCCAGACAGTTCATATTGCCGTCGTGCATTAGGCAAGACATGACATACCAAAATACATCAGTATTTTTGGTGTAAATAATAGTTTTAATCTTTAGGTGCCAGATTTATTTATGAGATTTATTACAAATCTGTAAATAAAGAGAAGTTCAAAAGCAAGGTAATTACTATATGTCTTTTGCCTGGCAAATCAAGAATATCTCTTTGACAAATGTGATTGTGCAGTCAGATTAGTTTTTAGTGATGCAGGTGAAACGGAGTAGCTCACTGGTCATCTATGATTTACAAAGAAAATGTAATTTATCTCACCTCAGATTAACAGGGTTTAGGGCTCACAGAGATAGATTTATTTTTTACTTATTTTTTACCAATATGGACAGACCATGTGTGTCCCTGATTGGCTAATCCAAGTATGTCTTTGAAAAATGGATTGTCTGAGATTTTTTATTTATTTATTTATTTTTTTACATTTTATCGGGTGAGTGGAGAAATTAGAACTGCAGGAAAACTGGCAGGGAAGACAACGTATGTTCAGGTATGTTGACTTTTAAGAACAGTCAAGAAAAGCCAAGTTTAATACTTTCCCATAGACTTAAACAGTTAAATATGGTCCATACAGAAAGATATTATGGGCAAATGATTCTGTAAACATACAATGTAAACTTTTTTTAAAGGTGAGATTTTTGAATTGTCATTGTCATCACTGTCTGTATTAATTTGTCTGTAATAGACAATGCAAATAAATCAAGCTCATATTCTTTGCCACTGAGAAATTAATACATGTTGGCTGCCTTATTGTCACCTGCCTACAGCTCGCCCTATTGCTGCACTGCCTCTAAACACTACTTTTTTATCTTTTGGCACCAATCTAAATCAAGGTGCTTATGCCATTTCAAAGCAATAGATTCAGGATTTCTAAACAAATAAAGGGAAAATAAAAAATCAAATCTAAAAGTACATAAAATACTCCAAAAAAGGAAGAAAACACAAAACGAAACAAATAAATGTAACAGACTATTACTACTACGTGCAATTTGCTACCACAATGTAATACTGTGAACTGCACCATCTCTCCCAAATAAGGAAATAAACTAAGAGCACAAAACATAATAATAACTGTTTTAAAAGTTCATGGCTCCAGGTAGCTCTGAAAAAAACTGTCCCAAAGCAAATAAAAAATAAAAAATAAAAATAAAAAAGACATATGGTTAAACAATTGGGATATCTTCACAGTTTCAAACCTGTAGTGTTTAATGTGTGCGAGTGTGGTGGACCCAAGTGATAACAGCCAACAGGAAAACTACTGAGCAATGCAAAATAACCGAGGATGTAACAAAAAACATGTCTTATAGCTTAGACTTCTGGGTTAAATCGTACCATATGACAAGATATAGCTATAAATGTAACCATTTTTAGACCCCTGCTTCCCATTTTCTCTGCACCCAAGCAGTTATTACAAAGACACACATACAAACATACACATACAAACCATTATGTTACAAATAGACACATTCAGGAAGTGAGGAAATGCTGGATTTGATTGCTATAGAGAGCCCTTAATATGTTATAAGATCGCAATCAAACAGTCTGTGTGCGGGAGTGCAAGAGTGTTAAATAATATTGTGAATCCCAACGTTAACTCAAGTGAAGAATTGTGTATAAAAAGTTTGTAACTGTCAATGGGTCCGTCCTGTGGGGTGTCCCAAAAAGTCCTCTGTTCAAGCATATAGTGGGGCGACAATTAAAATTCTTTTAAAAAATCCTACTATTATTAATGTCTTTCTGTAAATCTTTTCTTGTCAAAATGGCTCTTCTGAAGTGCTAAACTGCAAAAATGATGACACAGGAGGTGGGAGACAGAACCAGTGGTGTGCGTCCTTGTTCAGTAGTCAATACAAACCAAAAAAAAAAAAAAAAGAGTCTTCAATCGCCATAGTAACCGCATACATACAAGCAGGTTCACTGGTTAAGGCAGTGGTGGAGAGACATGTAGACTAGGTACATTTGGCGTTCAGGGCTCATGGCAGTGACGGCGCCCCCTACTGACGACAATACTGTTCCTGCTTATCGTAGCATCGGCATCATTAATTGTGGCTCACTCAAAGGACATCAAATTGGCTGGTACCTGGAAGCAGAGTGAAAACGTCAAGGGTATAAATCAAATCTATGATAGTATTCAAGTATATGTAAAACTGATCGATAAGAGCTAGACTAATTCTGCTAACTCCACCTCTACGATTATAAGATCAGAGGCGGTGCTACCATTAGGCAAAAGCAGGCAACTGCCTAGGGCCTCACAACCAGTACCCTCAGTACCACTAATGTCCGAGGCCTCAGAGCAATTTGATTTTCTCTCAATATGTCACTAAATGAGAGTTTATTTTTAAACAATAATCATAAGAAAAATAATAATAATTACATGTAATAGATGTAAACAAAAATGTAATTGTAATAGCAAAAAATAAAACTACTTTCAATTCTGGTTATCTAGTAGGCGACTGAACTAATAAAACAAGTTTCCTGTAGTAAAATAGTGTTTAGTTCAGTGTTTCTTGTGTAAAACACTGCACTGACCTTACTTACAGAGTCTGTGGTTATGTGAATGTGTGAGTAGTTCCATAACTTTATACTACAAACTCTAAATCACTTTTTAAGCAATAGAGTATGTGGTCTATCCAGTTACTGAACTGTAATAATATCATTTTATTTTATGTGTGAATTCATTTTAGCGTCTTACCTGTTGCCTGTTGCTCTGGCAGGCTGCGCTCAGATGCTTGAACCAAAGTAAAGCATTCATTCGATTTCCTGCTTGGTACTTGTACGTGTTACCTAGGAAACAGAGACAAAAACAACGTGAGTGCCAAAATCTTTTCACCTGTTTTTTTCCAATCTCTGGAAACTCTCGCTTGACTTTGGCTCAGCTGACGATTTCTGAAGGAGCCAAGGCTGAAACCGGAGTATGTGCAGAAACAGGGAGAAGAGGCTGATACGACTTGAATGTGCCTCACATAGTCTGAATGAGTGGACTGAATTTAGATGTGTGGACTCAACCAAGTTATGAAAAACTCAGGAAATAAAAGGAATCAAATGTAGTTTTAAATATTGCCTGTTTTTCTGTTCTGGGGCTGCAACAGCAACAAAACTGCCTCGCCTGTGCAGATGCCCTTCATTGATAAAGTCATTTGTCATCGAGTCATGGGCTGGTTGTGGTTAGACTCTTCAATATAATTGCTCATAATTTAAAATACTTTTTGTTACAGAAAGTTCTTGCAAATAAATGCTAATTATATTAATAAAATTGGGCCACACACGGAGTCAGTGTCATTATTGTGGCCAGACTAAATTTTATAAAGAATAATAGATAGATTAAGGTTTTAATTAGACTAACTGATTAAGGGCAGCTGGGAGGACCAATAAATAAGCATATTAATGAATGAGGCAGATGAATTATTTTACTGGGAAATGCTGAAATAAAACATTGTTATATCAGTATAAATGGTGTGGAGTGGTAATAAAGCATGATTTAATGTGCAATTAAATCTGGAGCTCTTGTAAAATATTTCACATGAATGTTGTAATAAAGTTGTCAACTATTTAGATAATAATAGTGATGTGAGTCTTACCTTGCTCAGAGTCAGTGAGCATAAAAACATCCGGATGCTCTGGGTCATCTGCCATCATTGCCATGAGCCCCACCACACACACGCTCTTACACGACGTGGACTTAAACTGGGCACAGATACAAGAAATACCACTCAGTCGCTTTCCTGTTGCAGCTTTGTCTAAACTCTCCTTCATTTCATACTGAAACTGAAGATGTTGGAATGTTAACCTGAGTGTTTTGTGTGTGTAACCTCTGCACACGGTTCTCATTAGCCTTGGAGTGACACACGGGACGTGCTGATGTCATTGGGCTCATTATTCAGTGAGTGCTCCCATCTGTGTCCCCCGCAGTGCCAGACTACAGCCCCCCGTGCTCCCCCCAAACACACTACACTGCATTTGTTCTCAGTCTGAGAGTACAGTAGTTCACCTTCCAATAAGTTTGCGTGTTCATGGATTTCAGCTTTTAGTTTACAGATGCCATTTTGAGCACTTTTCCCCATTCAAAAAGTACAATGTTAAGTTTTGAATCGCTATGGCAACAATGCTAATCTTTTAAATTGATTATTGAATATATTTATTTCAGAAATCATGACTTGTTTTTAACAACCCTGCGCTGATAGCAAAGGAGTTAACAGTACAAGAATATTATGTAGATTTAATTAAAATGGACACTTCTAGTAATTAATGAGAGGCCAGTGACTATAGTAACAAGACGGGAATGTGAACTCCACTCGAGGAAAAGTATAGACCTTAGTAAAAGCAATCACAAAGCAATGTTTTGCTTACAGTTCATTTAGTAATGAAAGTCATACAGGAAGTGTGACTAATCACCGTTGGATGGCAGTTTTGATAGCACATTAAAGCCTGTTTGTTCTGAGGTTTCATGGTAGTCTGTAAAACCAACTAGTGCTTAGGACGTTTAGTCATATATGTTGCTTTTTTAAACCAAATTAATTATGTCTTACATGTTTCCTTTCTGTGGCCTTCAGGGACTTGGCAGTGTAGTAGTAAAGCTGGGTACCACAGAGAGCCACCCAGTATTTGGTCCAAGATGCCACCTACAAACACACAGCAGAAAAAACTGTTAATAATAATAGAAATGACCATCATTGCAATACTATTCATTGCATATTGCAATGTATGTATGTATATATATATATATATATATGTGTGTGTGTGTGTGTGGGTATATGTGTGCGTGTGTGTGTGTATATATATATATATATTATATATATATATATATATATATTTTTTTTTTTTTTTTTTTTTTTTCATGGTCCTGTGAGGGCACAAAGAGCACAGTGACCTGGGACTTCTGACGTTTGGACTGGCAAACAAACTTTTTTTTGGGTTCAGTTTTAACAACATTAGATTAAACCTTTGTGTTTGCAACCAAAGAACAGTACATTACAAAAAAAATACAGAATATAAATTTAACAAGCTCATGAATAATAATCTAACTATTCAGTGTCCAGCAATACCAGTTTATTCTAATCATAAGAGCTGAAGACAGGCAGGACAAAGAACAGACTTTTCCTGGAGGACTTTAGTACAACAAAACAAAACAAAACAAAACAAAACAGAGGTGCAGAAGCTGGATGTGATCTGTAGGTGCACTGAAAATGAAATGCTTTGATTCAAATAAGAATTACGGAATATTTTCTATTCAAATTATTTTATGTAAATTGAAAGCAAACATTTAAGTAGACTGACATACAACTACAAGTGAATATAAAAATACTGCATAAAATATTCAATAGGTCCACACTTATATTTTCAGTGAACAGGTGTGTAATGCGGAGGAGTGAGCTTACGGTCGGTTTTTTGCCCTCCTTCAGCACAGTCTTCCTTCTCAGAACGCCCTGTACTGTGACCGCCCCGGGATACAAGTGCACCGCCAGCTCCTCCGACTCGGCTGAGCTGTAAAAACAGGAAAAATATTATTTAGTAATGTAAAGAATACTGAATGCAGAGGATCTGACAGTTTGTGAAGATGTTACAATGTGCAGAAAACCCAAAATACATCTAGATTAGAAGCATAGGCAGGACCTCTACCAAGTCAATAGTCTCATCTTGCAATGGTTTAGCTACAACTTGAATTATTACTCGTATTTCTGGCTTTGAGAAAAGCGGGGCAATACTTAATAACATTTAATTTGTCCTAATAAAGCATGAACAAAGACTTAACTCAAAACGAACCAATTCTTCATTAAGAAAGATTCAGGCTTTTTTCTTACTAATTAATGCCGTAACCCCAACTCCAAACTTTACCCTATTAATTAAGAAGTTAGTAAACTGGAATCATCCTTCAAACTTTATTATGAATTAAGTCTTTGTTCATGCTTTATTAAGACTAATGAAGGTGAAATTGCTATAAAGTGGCACCAACATAATGTTATCTTAAACTAAAGAATATCATACCAGAAAACAAATACATCTTGTGGACAGATTATGGAAACTAAAATTGGAATAAGAATCTACTGAAAATAATTAGGTCAGTGAAAAACAATCCTATACAGGAATTATGGTTCTGGTATATATTCCAGTGTTGTACATTTCAGGAAGAAGGCAGAATACCATTAGTAGAAAACCCAGACACAATGCACTGAAACACCGTAAAATATGTTGCCTTTTGTATGTTTCCAAATGTCCAATTTTACAGATATAAATCTTTGCAGTTATAGGAGCATAAAGTAGAGCAGGAATGGACAAGATGGTGAGCAGATTGTGTCTGTGCTGTGAAGGAAGCTCAGAGCAAGAGCCCAAAAAGCCTGGTGGAAAAAGACAGATTTGAAAACCACTACAAAGAAAAAAAAAGATTGTTCATTATGCAACCACTATGAAAGCAATGAGCAAAGCATAAGAGTCTGTCCAATGTTAGGATTTACATTTGTCAGGAAAGTTTTAAGTGGAGCTCTGAATAACAAGGGAAAATTTTAAGCTTCAAGTTGAAGTTTTCAAAAGTGAAGTCTTCAAAGTTCACTACACAGTCCACATACAAAAACAGGCTTTATATTATGAATACTGTGTAATCTGCTACACCACAGTTCATCAGTTCATACTGGTACTTGCTTCTAGCTCTTTAAATTTAAGATTAAAATGCAGCCAAATTATGCCATAATTTATAGATTATTCATTTTATCTGATGTAATTATTCATGCCTGATTTGTGTACTTCTACTTTGGGAGTATTTCAACTTTACATGCAGTAAATTCAGAAGACAGAAAAATGCTACAATAGAAATATAGCAGTAAATGACCACCACCACAAAACCCCTGAGTTAAATCGAATAGAGAAACATAGTTAAGAGCCGCAGAGGGTGACCCCTAGTGGAAAGAAGGGGTAAGGAGAGGTTTGGTTCAGCCCTGTTTTGTACCTGCTGGGCCTCAGGACGCCTCTGTAGGGGATTCGAGCCACTCGGGTCACTGGGCCCAGAGAGTGGTAGAAGCGAGTCCTGTTCACAATGGGATAAGACAGGGTTGGACAGTGGACACTGGTAAAGTTTATGGGGCTTTAATACAAGATTTGGTCCATTGGGTTAGGTCTGGAGAAATGAAGGGTGTTATTTGTTAAAAGGTTAGTTATTATCAACAGCTGGATTTCTGGCACTGGCAAGAAGGTTAACTGTATTGCTTTCCCAATCTCTAAAAGGCAGTCGAAACTACCCTCTAGTTGGATGAGACTTATTTTGCTTATTGTTGCACCATGAGGGAAATGCATTTTTATATTTGAATATAAACCCAGCTTGTGTGATTTTGACATTTAGAGGGAAGGGTGCTCTGGTAAAGAGGTTAGTAAGTCTTTGGTTTGGATCATGCACTGTCGATGTTGGTGCAGGTGGACTTCTGTGAGGGGGATAAAGCTGAACGATAAATGAATTTCACGCTGCAGAGAAAGCAGACATTTTCATACATTTGGTAAAAGCTGAGAGCTGCAGAGGAATGAGGCATGACTGAGTTGGCTGTGAGGCTTTAGGAGAGAGAGGCTGGGCATGGCGTGTTTCAAAGTGGATCATTTTCAACAGCTGTGCCTTGAAGTCTTGCATTAGAGATGAGCTTATTTCATGATGGAAGCTGTGGATGTGGAGAATACGCAAACAAAATAATGAGGAAAAGTACCTCTCAAAAGCCGGCCATGACACCTCTTCACTCAGCTCAGAGCCTTCACTGCTCCCTGCAAACAGACAGAACTCATCAAGACTGCATCTTATATCACAAGATCACTCAAGGACAAAATGTGTTTTTAATTCTAATCTGTAATATTAAAATCCATATCTTCAAATCCATACTTTAATTTTAGAATCAGAAATACTTTGAAAGGTTAAAATAAATGTGTTAATATAATGTAAAAAATATGATGAAAGACCATCATTTTGTGCCAAAATACCCAGTACCAAAATATACTTTTTGTATTACACATTACCTGTGAAAAGCAGTTGATATTTACTCTACCAGTGCCTGCCTATCTTTCAAACTGTAGTGTTATGGTTATTTGAAACAATGATATGGAGTCTGTGAATGTTGTCCTACTAGAAGGAATATATGATACCAGCTTGTTGAAGTCGTAACTTTTAAAATGTAACTTTTGCATGTTTCTTAGATGTTTTATTGGTGTTATTTTGATAGAGAATAAACAGACTCTTGATTAGAAGCTTTACCAAGTGAGATGCCGCTGGACAGAGTGGAGCTCTCGGCCTGGACTCGGCTCGGACTGTGGCTCTCCATCACACTGTCGTCCAGTAAATGTCTGGAGCCAGCGTTTGGGAACGTCGCACTTTTAAACTCAACCGTGTTCATCTTGTGAATAAAACTGAACCAAGTACAAGGAATTATAGGAGATTAGTTTTCATTTATACTGCACATTTAGATGCACATCAGATTGAAACTGACTTGTATCCCAGACTGTGGCACTTCCTGTGACCGTAGGGCAGGAGGTTTCGTGGGGAGGGGGGCGTGGCAGGGACTTTGGTTCCTTCAGCTGCGATTGTGCATTTACGACCACAGAGAGGAGAGGCTTCCTGACCTGAAAATGGAGTTACTACAGAGATAAGCAAGTGCTAATTTTAATGTTTTTTTTATCTTTTACATTAGAGAATACAAAATGACTTAATTTAATTTAAAAGGCCACTCACCAACAAGGTCCTCTTTTGAGGCATTAGCTCGTGGTGTGCTGGTGCCTGGCTCAATTTTCTGTGACAACCTGAAAAAGTATACCTTTACTGACAATTTGTCCAATAAAAGAGGTTGGTAAATCCCACCTAGAAGATTATGACAGAAGACGATCAAGGTGGTTGTAACCTACTTGTAATTGTCGTCCTCCACAAACTTCTGCAGCTCTTCAATGTATCTGACAGAGTTGAGATACTTCTGAATATGAGGCATCACAGGCACATCTGGAGAATGGAAAAGAATGGCATATTGTTACATAGTCTAAAATAAATGAGAAAACATAAGCAAATTTTATATTGCATTATAATGCCTTTTTTTGTAAATTATCATTATTTTTTCAGTTTTAAAGTTATAGATAATTTGCTTTTAAGACAGAAATAAACTTAAGTTTATGAAAGTCAAAGAACGTATCCATTAGCATTTATTTCCCGACTTCACTCTTATCTCGTTCAGTGAAATTCAGTGAATAAGCAATGCTATAAACCCACCATATGTGCAGGATCTCTGTAAGTCGGATATGATTCGGAGGATGTTGTTCATGAGATTGGACCTCTGCTCGTTCTCCAGAATACTACCAGTGGAGGGATAGGCTGAGTCGATGTACGTCAGGTCTGACAGGTACATGCCTGAAACAGAAAGAGGCCACGTTAAGGTGTTGTGTCTTTGTGTGGTGTATATAGCATTTAGACAACACACACACACACAAAAAAGTAATTCTTGATGGCACATGTAGCAAGCCTGTCATAAGTCTAAAAGTATGTATAATTGGCATTGTGAGTCAAATTGCTGTAGATTTAGTATTGAGCTATTATTACTTATTATTTTAACTTGACAAACATATTCAGTATTTTAATGTGTTTATGAAATACAAGCAGCAACAACAAACAGTTGTCTCCCTGAAATTATGCTGATACTTAATCTCAACAAATTGTGTGATTTCAGTAAAAAAAAAAAAAAAAAAAAGATGTTTTATTTTCAGATACATAGCCCTAAAGCATATGTGAATAAAAGTAGGAAAAGGGCTATCCATTCCATGCCCCTGTCTGTGGTTAAAAGTCACATGAGTGCATCTGGCAGAGGCGTTAACTTTATAGTCACAGGAAACAGGGATTTTGGAGCCAAACACACAGAGGGTTCAGCTCATAACAAGCATTTAGTGCAGAGAACACTGTAACATGGCCTAGGTTTTCTTTGATGCATAAATCGCTATGCAGGTGTAAGATGTGGTCAACAACGAGCAGCTTGTACAGAAACACCACCTCAGACAAAGTGACAAAAACTATTACAAACTCTTATTTGCCTATGACAGAGCACACCTCACAATAACTAAAGAACAAAAGTCAGTCCTACAAGGGATGTACCTTCTATTCTTATTGCAGTCGAGAACGATTTTTTACAAACAGGTTGTGGTTGCAGTGAACAGTTCAAACTCAACTACAGCTCTCTTAATCTTTTAAATATTCCAAAGAAATTGTTGACTGATCTTCATTTATTTCACTATTTCCAAATCTGTCTTTAAAATATTTTTCACGTCATCCTTTCCTGGCAAACTTAAACCATTTCTAAAATTCTTGTGTTTCATTATATAAATATTTCGAGACAAACTCGGCATCCCACCGTTTTGAAGAGTAAGATTAACGTCTTCTAAAGTGACCCAATGGACTGTGTCTATCTTCTGTTCTCTTCTTTCCACCTCTGTCTATTGGAAATTCACACGCCAGCCGGAAGATTGAGAGCAGATGTGGGAGAGCTTATCACACACTCGTTTACATGACAACCTCCCACTCTTCTTCTTGGAAAATCATTGTTTCCCTACAGATGTTCACAAATAAATAAGACAGATATTCACACCCCAAAAGATTAAAAACAAGTTAGGACATTAGGGAAGGTGTAGATCTACAGAGGCCAAATATCTCCCAGTGCTGTAATCAAACAAAATAACATCATCTGACAGGGATTAACTGAGAAAAGGGTGGGAGATGGTTTATAAAGTTTTGGAAAGACATCTGTGTGACATAAGAAGTGAACATGAACAACAAAGAACAAAGTTGTAGCATTTCTAAAGGTGTTCATTCAGTGTAGTCAGGTACTTTGTAATGTATAAGTACATTGGAATAATCACAAACCTTTTGTAATAAAATTATAAAATGTAGTTAAAAATCTGTCAAGATATCTTGGACTAAACTACTACCCCCCCCTTCATGAATTTCAAACAAATGATTCATGATTCATTGTTTTTTCCCATTCAGACATGAGATTTTTATTTGAAGGTGATAATTACTATAACAATGGAGGACCGTCCTCATAGTTTTAACCCAATGAATGCTACACAATTGTGAATGCAAAATGAAGTATATACTCAAAAACATAAAACAGAAATGTTGTAAAAACACCTCTGTCTGAATGTCCTTTCAAGCTGCAAAGCAAACTACACAGAAACTCCCACTGCAAGGAAATTAACGATTATGAGACCTACAATTTAACAGCAAACAATAAACAAGGTTTTCGCCTTTTCAGGGGTTAGGAAACCACTTGGACCACTTACACTATTCTCTCTCTAGTCTTTTTCCATGAGAGTGACATCAGAGTGGGCCGGACCACTCAGCAAGAAAAAACATCTAACAATCTTATGCTCCCCCACCCTCACCCCCTCTCCCCTGCTCTCCTCCTTCTTTGTGAAAAACTCAAGGCATCAGTTGTGAGAGCGCAGTGTGATGTTTGGAAGTATCCGGCGTTTGAACCATGCCCCAGACCAAGGACAGCTGAGCAGTGGAGTAGAAGGACTAAAGTGGACTAAAGTGGACTAGAGTGGACCGCGATGAAGACCCTACAGAGGTGAAAGTGGCAATCAAAAGAGTACTACTACTTCAAATAACAAGGTAGATATTTGGAGTACTTTGTTTAGTGTGTGCATGTGCGTGCGTGTGTGTGTGTGTGTCAACAGCTGGGGGCGGCTCTGTCTGAGAGGTTGTAGAGGTTAGTACATTTCATGATAACAGGATTTTTGGGGACACTGAAAAATATTTGCTTCTTCCTTTCATTGCTGTAATAGAAGGGTAAACAGATAATTAATAAACCAAGACAGGTCTAAACAAGACCTAAATTAGAATAAACCCATTTTTAAATCAGGACTATACCAGGGTTAAACAATGTCTTAGATATGGCTACACCAGGACTTAATCACAAATAAGTAAAGTAAAACCAAGAATTAACTTAATTTGGGCAAAAAGGTGCTACCAATAGAAGTCCATTTTCATCCAAATGAGTCTGTGCCGCTGTTTGAGAACCCCTCTATACAATATGAAATGAGCAGAACATCGAAACATGTGGCAGACATACCAAGAGTGATGTCTCAATTCATTCATTCAGTACAAAAGTTCTCAGGCAAATAAAAATGAAAAATGACTTGGGTGTTGTCTTGTGTCTTATGAGTGAAAACTTTGGCTGTAGAAAGATGAAGTTGACAGGAGATGAAAAGTAGGACAACATCACCTCCCTGAAAAAAGTTGGAACAGACAGATCTGATCAGAGGTAGAGATTGCAGAGACGAGGGGAGATTTGTGTATATTATTCTTGGCTTTGGGTTTCTCAATACAGCAGCGCCTGACAGGAGGGCCCAGTTAACCTGCAGGACTGAAGGTTAGATCAATAATATTAGACATAATGAGGTGGTGACATGGCACTCAGCACTGGTCACTATAGAAATGAGATCATGTATGGATAAGCAGAGCTGTGCAAACGTTTTGGTAGGGAGCGAAAAATACTGCTTTCAATTAATCATTCAGTTTGGCCATCTACAAAGTAAAAGAAATGGTTATTTTTCTGTTTGATGTCATTTCATAAGTGTTTAAGGGACTTATTTTAAAGACATGCTGCAATACAAATACTAAGCACATTTTTCATTTTAGTCAGTTGTGTAGATTAAAAACTGCCATTAATTCCTACTGGTCCAACTATTTTCGCATCATAGTTTCTCATTCTTAAAAAATCTTTTGGCCCTTGCACCTTGCCATAACCCAGCAAGGACACGTAAGGTATCAGTGGGCCAACTCTAATGACAAAAACCCCAATAACCACATCCTATCTGAGCAGCACTTTGAACTTTTAACAATATCAATGTGCTGTACTTTCATATCACTTCCACTATCATTATCGCCAAATGTTTTCACTTATGTCATGGTCCTCTGCTGAGATCTCTGGAAAATACCCTGTTCCTAACAAAGCCACATCTGTGAACACTGCAAACCACCACTACAAGGGAGGCCATACAAGTCTCACACACTCTAGAGCACTGAGGAGGCTAGAAACAATGTACAACACACCGAATTTAAAACTTAATGAAGCATTTCCACTTTAATTGTATGTCAAAACCCAAAACTAATTATTTGAAGTAAGAAAATTTCCAGTTGAGAACAATTATGGCTTGTCTATGGGAAAGAAAGCAAGGTCTTACAATTGCTTTAATAAGTGCTGATACAGTGCTCATTTATTGTATCGTTACTATTTTATATCAGAAGTTTTCAATTATTTGTATTCTATGTCAAAACAAATGATAGAAAACGTTTATCAGTAATTAAAAATTTTACAAATTTTTTTTCATGTTTGTGATAACTGATCTTATATTATAAAACTGCTCACACTTGGATTCATGATTTGGCTAACTTCCCCCTCAGCTTGACACATGCACTTAAAAAACTCAGGAGGTAGAACAAGTTACTGGCAAAACCATAAAACGCATTTCACCGGCTTTCTTGTTCTCGTTGCATGTAGTAAATCAAAATCTCAATAACTTTAAATAATTCAGCCAGGGAAAGAAAGTCAAACAAAGCAAAGATAAACTCACAGCTGTCTGAGAAGTATCCAGAACATTGTGTGCCTAGCATTAGCTTTAGCACTCACCTGAAACTATGAAACCTTGTTATGGGTTATTACTGCCAATGCATATGCTCTTAACTTTCACCTTTTGGCAGTAAATCATAGTAGAAATCTCTTTTGAAGCCCTTTTTACTTTAAAACTTTACACTCCTTGGACAAGTCTATAAAATGCTGAAACCAGGTAGAGCATGAGAGGCCTGTTAGCATGGAGGATCAGGCTGTCACATACTGTGGCTCAGTGGGAGATTAATAACAGGCTCAAACTGGGTACCATCTGACCATGGTCTAAGGGCAGTGGGCAAACAGCCAAACATAGCGTATAGTTTAACCCAAAGCTGCATGTCAACTCTTCACAGACACACGACTTCAGACAACTCCAGAGATCTTATCTTTAGTCATAGACATTTATTGATGCTATCACCAGAGGTACAAGTAAGGGTTATAAATGTTGAAAGTACAAACGTCAAAAAGCATTGCAGTGAGGAGTAGCGTATTTGAGCTCAAAAAGGTTTTGAACTTTTTGTATCAATGTCATCTGTCTAAACTAAATATGTATCTTTACCATTTAATTCCAACCAAATAAAAAAAAAAAGCAAAAAAATAGTACTACTACTAATTTACAAATCGGCATACTTCTATACCCACTACTAAAACAAACATACATACAGTAACCTACAGCATAAACCTATAAATATAATACAATACTGCAGATAGTTTGTTCAGAAGTAAATGTCCAGAAGTAAATATAACA